AGTCAGCCCCAGGCCCTGTGTCGTGTGCTGGGCGAAGGAATGTGCTCCTTGCAGTGCATCTGTAATTAGAACATGCCACACAGCATGGTATTTAAAGCCCATCATCATTATCTTTTTTTTAGGGTGTTTCCCTACCTTATTTTTAAACTTAACTTTTTCGATCAGGAAAGAAAATCATTTTTTAAATCAGAACAGAAATATTACAGTTTTTTAAGGGGCAACAGTAGACTGAAATCGACGGTACTGATTTTATCTTCTTTTCCTTGGAGAGCTGCAAACCTTTTGTGCAAGGGGCCAGAAGGTAAATATTTTAGACTTTGCTTAGCTCCTTCATGTGGCCATGGTAACGGGAAGGAGCCAGGTAAAATTGGTTGCCCAGAAAGGCACCTCAAATCACAGGCAATTGGCAGGGAATTTGTGTTCGCTTCCGGGGAGAGGGGCTAATAATTAAGCAACATGAGACAGGGCTGCATTTTACCACGACTTCAGCTTTAGGTTTGCCTGGGAAATCTTCCATGTGGTCTCCTAGCCCCCAGCGTGCGTGAGGAGGGTGCAGGGGGATAGTCAAATGCCACAGAGTTTTAACATAGCCCTTTCTCTTAATCGTCATGACTATGAGTGTGTGTGTGTGGGGGGGGGGTTCTTCTTGATACCTCCATACCCTGGATTATTCCCATCATGGAATGATTAAGAGTATTCATGAGCAATTGAGAAGTATATAGGCTGGGTAGTGAACCTTTCAGGGGTGATTTGAAATGACCAAGGGATGGTGATACCAAGGGATTACCATCAGAGGACCACAGTTGAGTGTGTGTTAGCGCATGTTAGAGTTGCACAGCCATCAACACATCTGGCTTTAACAATTCCACCAACCCCCAAAGTTCCTTTTTTCCACATTGACAGTCACTATGTTCCTCCCTCGCTTCCCCCACACCCCTAGACCTGGCTCTGGGTAGCTATTCATCTGGGTCTATGAGTTTGCCTTTTCTAGAAATTTCATGTAATGAAACCACACAATCCTTGCTCTTGTATGTATGAGTTCCTTAACTCAAGCATGATATTTTTGGACATCACCCTTGGTGGTGGTTCTATTCGTGATTTGTTTTTTCTATTCCTGGAGAGTTCCGAGGTATAGACATATGTTTTATTTCTGTATAAGCTGATAAGCATTTGAATGGTTTCTAGTACTTGACTGTTATGAATAACACTGCTGTAAATATTTGCATACCAGATGCACTGAAAAAGCATTCTTTTGGGCAGGTATATTCCTGGGACTAGAATGTCTGGGACATAGGGTGATGGTTTGTCTTTCTGCTGAGCTGTCTTCCAAGATGCATGCACTGCTTCATGCCCTCCCCAGTGTCTCCACATCCTCGCACACACGGTACAGTCTTTTTTCATTATGGTGAGGATGACGTCGTTGGCAGCAGGCAATGGAGGTCCTGTGATCCTCGCTTTGAAGAAGAGATGCTATTTCTTGCCTTGTGCTCCTACAGGATGGTTCTGGAGATCAAAGGAGAGGGAAATTTAGGTGCAAGTGCTTTGTATTGTAACAACGTGCAGAAAAGATTTTAGCTGTTACATTGAACACGTATCTGACTTAGAGATTAAGATGAAAACTTGCCCAGGGTTTAATACAACATGTATGTTATGGTCAAACTTGTTCCACCTGCTTCTAAAGGCAGTTTTGCCTCAAAATGTGAGCCTCCCCCATATGCCTGCACTGTACACTCAATTATCAGCCTTATTTAATAATGACAGAATATAATGGCTTGCGTATGGCGGGCAAATTTTTCTTCCTCGTTCCAGCTTGGATGGTCTGGTAAATGTCTGCTCGTGACTTCATTTTCAGATGCCTGTGGGTGGCCTCTTTTCTGGGCTGGGGCATATGTGTTCTGTTGGGGGAAGTAGAAAGTTTGGGGGTGCAAAGAAACCACCACCACAAACAGTCTATGTAAAAATATCCATTTCAACGGTTTTACTTTGCAATTCTGATTCTATGAAAAGAACCAGTTTAAACTTTTTCTAAGAACAAAGGGAGTGTGTTGAGTATGTTTCCCTCCCTGCTGGTGGAAGGCAGCTGCTGTGAACTTGGGGGAACCAGCCAATGGGGTTTGGATCTGAAATCTGGGCTGGGTTTAATGTGAAACTTGCTTTTATCAGCAGCTTCACACCTGTTGGGTAAGACCTTTGGACCAAGGAAGTTGAACTGTTTGATCCTGTAGGATTGGGTCAACAAAAGATTTTATAGTATTTTCAGATCAAGAAGGTTGAAGGACCCACAACAAAGCTCAAATAAAAGAAACTGTGTGCTGTGTAGCTTCTAGGAGTTGGGAGGTTTATCTTAATCCTTGGTGATGCTTTGTAGTGAGTGTTATTTCAGAATAAATTCTTAATGTGATTCTTATGAGAAAGTTGTAATCATTGGGAAATACTTTTATGAAATCCTTTCTTAAAAAACGCAAGTAGTGGTCACAGCAAACAGAATACTTTGGGCTCGGGATTCTGGGGTGGAAGTTCATTGTGAATTATCATTTTATGAGTTAAGCTAACAAGTGAAGGTGCCCGCAGTGTGCCTTTGAGAGAGGGGATGCAGGTATTTCACAGCTTTCAGTGGTAAAGTCTCCAAGCTGTGAATTAAAGAAAGGATGGAAAAGGTAGTCCAGGCACTTAGAAGTCTTTCTCTAGCGCATTACAAATATCATGGCTTGGGTGTGGAATGCTGTTTGCGGGACTAGTCTAGAGAGTGCCTGAAGTCTGTTCTTTCGGGAAGCAGCTGTCACTGATAAGACTTGAGGACTGACAGGCAGATAGCTGCAGACATCCCTCTTCCCAGGTGTTACCTGTGCCTCAGTCCTAAGTGCAAGGCAGAGGTACAGGATTGGCCTGGGTGGAGACGGAGCTTGCCCTGCTGCTATGTGCTTCCATCAGGCAGCCTCCCAATTTACGAAGAAACTGCATGTCCATATTTGGTGCTGTTTTCCATTGTGATGGTGGAAGATTTCAGTCCCTCTTAGGAGGGTGTTTGAAGAAGTCATCCTGAAGCAACTGAAATAAGAAGGCCTATGGCGAATGCCCATGGGGTTTCGAGAGGGGGTGAGCCACCTGAGCAGGTGATGGGGAGCACGGGCCTGCGCCATTTTAACTGGGTCTCCAGACACTGTGATCTGCTCAGAAGTGCTTGTAGAACCTTATGCAATGGTCTTCCTCCTCCCAGAACCCCGAACTCTGGCTGACTGGCTCCAAGTGCTTTCATTGACCTCAAGGTTGACTTACAGGGATCCCAAGTAGCAGGGGTAACAGCAAACGCTTTCAGTCTGGCTGGTATGTTTTAAACAGGGGCATCACTGAGGGAGTCAGTACCTATTAATTTGGATTTTAAATCTTCCTACATTCTCCCTTGCAGGAGGACAACAAAGAGCAGATAGTTGTTTGTAAAAATTGGTCACTTATCAATGCTCTATCAGTCATCTGTATGCTGTTGTAGTTTAATTATTGACTGCATTTTACTGTTAATGCATTTATTTCTGCCTTACTTCAGGTAATGAGAGTCAGGTGATGTGTGGGAAGAGCATGGGATGGGAATTGAAGCGATTAAAGCCCTGGATTGGTCACCATCTGTCATATTAACAAGGGCTGTTGCTCTGTCTTCCCAGCCATCTGAATGGGGGGCTCTCTATTACTTGTGAGACTCTAAGTGCCTGACCTTCCCCCTCATGGGTACAGTACTGAAAGCTGCTGTTTTTCTGTTGACCAACAATATAAAGTAGTCTAGAGAGATGAGTTTATTTCCATGTTATTTATGCCTTGCCAACTCTGTGCTGGGGACGGTAGTGGTTCCTTAAACAAGAATCCACATAACCAATGTATTTTAAACATTTCATTCAGCATTTCAAATAATACAGAAATTGAACATATCAATGAAATGAGATTAAAGGTTCTTAGAAAAAGTTCAATTGAAGTGACTTCCAGTGATAATTTTGCTTTAATAGTTTTACTCCGGTTTTCATTGGAGTGGATGAAATTATTGAACAGAGTAGAAATAACTTCATGAGAGAGTAAAGCTCATTCCATCATATGCGTAGAAATATTCATCATGTCATAAGGGTCCTTGATCATTTGAATGACCAGTTCAACTTCGCACCCATCCTTGGAAACATGGCTTTCTTGTTGTGAAGTCAAAGGTAGAGGAAATTCAGTATTGCAGCGCTGAATATTATGCTTGTTTTATTTGGAAATGAAATCAACGCTAGAAAATAAATATATCCCAGGTTAAAACAATAGGATCTGGAAGTTGCTCTTTTGGGCCATAATCCCAGATGCTGGCGGGCATTCGGGGCCTGGCAAACTTCACTCCTGTGGGTTGGGTTTGATAGTTACTAAAACTTTAGTCCCTCTCTCAAGGGTTCCAGTTGACACATGGAATTTATTCAAGAAGGACATCGGGGGTGCTTTCTTGCCCTCCACGTGGGCACGCACATGGATCTTGGGCCCTGGAAGATGGGAGCCAACAGGGCCCCAAAATTCTCAACTTGGGGCAAAGTAGCCAGTGTCCTGATCAAACTTGTGGTTTCTGGAATCCAGCTGCCTGACGCAGTTTTCTCCCAGCCTCCTGATGATGGCCAAGTTTCTTCAGCCCAAGGCTTCCACTTCTTCATCTGTAAAATGGGAGAGATGGCAGCACTTGCCTCAAAGGGTGATTGTTCCTGCAATGAGATAATGCACAGAAATCACTTGCATCTTAGTAACGCGGGGCTGCTGTTACTTAGTCCTCCTTTACTGCCGCTGTCCATGGGATGCTCTCAGCCGTGCTCGTGTGTGGCGAAGACTGTGGGTGCAGCTTTCTGAAGAGTTGTCCCTTGCTTGTTTGAGAAAGACATTGGCTTTCCCCAAAGTTTATTTTTTTAAAGGAATGTAGTAGTCATAGCAATTTTGGGGGTGGCGTTTGGACACAAGTGCAATCCAAGCTCATGGTTAAGCCCTGTTTGTTTTGTTTGCAGGGAGCACGGGTCTGGCTGAGGGAGAATGGCCAGCATTTCCCGAGCACCGTGGACTCCTGCGCGGAGGGCATCGTCGTCTTCCGGACAGACTATGGCCAGGTGAGACGTCCCTGCGACTCCCGCCGTCCGTGCTTGGCTCCCTTGGGCAGTCCTGCGTGAGGGCGTCTGTGCTTTCTTCTCACCCCATGCACCTGAAGCATCTTTTCTGTGTGGTAAAACAGAATCCCAAAAGGAATCTGTAATGCACATGTGGTGTGAGTGAGATGCAATGAAATTGTATCCCAAGTGGAACACAGGCAGTGTCCCCACAGTGTGAGACAGAGAGCCCTGTGCTGGCATGGTCTCCTTTCTGGTGTCTTTTCCAAGAATTTAGATGCATAGCCTACAAGCAATTTGAGAACACATTCTAGATTTATTGATATTTGCTGATTGGTTGCATTTTCACTTCTGTAAAATTCTTAAGCATTTCTTAAGCATCTGTTGCAAACACGTACTGACCTACACTGAGCACCTAGTGGGGTCCTGCTCCCTGAAGCACATCGACCAAACCTCCAAACCTGAGCCTCTTTACATGCCTTGTTAGACAACTGAGGAAGTTCCTTCTGGTTGTGGAAGTCCCACTAAAGAGTTTCCAACCTTTAGTATAAAACACAAGAAAACCCTTATCACTGAAATCACATGTTAATCCAGAATCTGGCTCATCAATGATATTTGGACAGTTGTGAAAGAAATCCAACTTCTCCAGGGTGATAAAGAAGCTGATCTTAATGTCACTGATGGGTCCCTCTTTCAGAGGTACATATCAAAATTTAAGACATCACGAACGAGAAGGATGTCACATGGCAGTATGCACAACCCTGTTTCTGAGTCTAGTTTGCAACTTGTGTTGAGAACAGAAGCTTGGTCTGAGACTGCCAAGCTTGTGTTGCATCGTCTGAGACAGCCAAGCCACCTAACCATCAACCCTACAGGAGGGATGATCCCTTGGTGGTTACTGTCTTCTGATTCTTGACTTAATAAGCAGTGATGTTATTGGGCTCTTTTGCAATTTCTTAGTTTCTTTTTCACCTGAGAAATTTGAGTGATCCTACAGGATTTATCTTTTGGTGGAAATAGATGGACATTGTGGGGGAGAGGAAATCACATAGATAATGGTCACCGCCAGTGTGGACACGACTCTGATGTCCAGCCCAATTTCTTTTTTTCTGATTCTCAGGGAATTTCGTGTGATCTAGAAACCAGGACCTAGTCCATGACTTTGCTGTATTGCTTTAAAGATTTAAGTTCCCAGGCAGAATCACTCAGCATCTTCTTTCTTCGCCTTTCATTTTTCCCAGACAAGAATTCAGGGTTGGTTTGTTTTCCCAGACTCTACACACATCTCAAGATGCCATAAAAAAGGCAAACAATACCTTTTTATTAAGTTACATCGCATTATAAGTTTCAGGTATGCATTGTCGATAATCCATTTATTCCATTCACTTCATTGCTAAATGTCCACACCTGCCCTGCACCCTGTCAGGACCCCCTGTCCAGATCTACCCACCCCTGTGCCCCCCTCCCTTCTAGTAACAAGTGATAGTCCTTATATTCTAAGTGTTTATTTGGGTTAGTTTTATCTGTTTTCTCCGTATACCACAAATGAGTGAAAAACCATGTAGGGTGTTCATCTCTCATACTTAAACAGTGTATTTGACCTAACTCTGTCCTGAAAGTGTTATTAAAATATTTAATGGAATTCTTTTTTGTCATTGACTTCATCCCCAAGAAACTTTGATTTTTTACCTTATTAACCTTTTTCCCTCTTTTTAAAAAATAATGGTAAAAACACTCATAGCATTAAATTGGCCCTCTTGACTGTTCTTAAGTGCACGGTTCAGCTGTGTCAAGATATTCTCATCGTGGCACAACAGATCTCTTGAACTTCTTCATCTTGCAGTATTGAAACTCTGTGTACAAAAGGCCACTTCCTACCCCGCCTGCCCCCCAGCCTGGCCAACCACTGTTCTACTTTCTGCCTCTGAGATTTAGACAACTTGAGCTGCACACACACTTGGAATCACAGTGCCTTTTTTTGTGACCAGGCCACTCACTTCAGAGTGTCCTTGGGGTTCTGAAGATGCTTTCTGTCACTCTCTAACTCTGCTTTGCTTGACAGAAGGGGCTCCAGCAGCCCCTCGGTGTCCCTGCCTGGGCAAGTCAGCCACTGCCTCGGGGGCCAACTCCAGCCGGGTGGACAGACAGCTGTCAGAGAAGGGGTGGGGTGGGAGCATCAAGTCCGCGGTTCTGTTCACTCTTGACAGTATTTATGGATTGTGGGTTTAGAAAGAACTCAAACAGAAGAACATGTAGTTAAATTCAAAAACAACTCTCAACTTTGACCTCTAATCTTCGTCGGTCATCAAATGCTTGGTCTGATGTTGTCCGCTCTGTCATTCCCAAGTATAACAAGTATAATTAGTGTGGTGGTTTCTGGAGGAGTTGCCAGGCTTAAAATGCAAGGAGAGTGAAGGAAGATTTCTGAATTGGCTTCAGAGCTGACAGTGGCCAAAAGAGTGTGGATTCTTCTTTCCTGACCTACTTCTCTGTTTGCCTCACAAGTTCATGCTAGAACATGCAGGCGTGGTCACGGGGAACAAATTCACTAACTAGTTCTGGCACCCAGACAACCTCACCTGGGCAGGGAAGGATTCTTAAAGGAATTGGCCTCAGAAATGAAACTTGACCTTGTCCTGGGCGAGTCCGTCCAGGGAACTTCTCAAGGTGTTGACTCCTGCAACCCAATTGGGTATGTCTGTAAAGGGTGTTAAGATACTGGCGTTGGGGTGGAGTGAGTGTCAGTGTTTAGTGAGAACAGGGTGTGGACACTGGAAAAGAGGAGGAAGTGGGTTTGGCTGTTTGACCACGTGAACATAACTAAGGCCCAGAACTGGGCACTTGAAAGTGGTTAAAATGGTAAGTGTTGGGTTCCTATGTCTGTTACACAAAAACATAAATCAAATATACAGAAAATATATAAATATATAATAAAATAGTTACATAAAAATTAACATACCCGAGTGGTAAACTGACAAAAGTTGTCCAGTGGGAATTATTTTATCTCTTTACAAATTTCAGTGACCTTTTTTTTTAAAGATTTTTTTTATTTATACAAGAGCTGGGGTACAGGCCAGATGCACGGGAGGGTGAGAGGATTCACCAGAGACAGTGCAGGGAGCAGAACAGGGCAGACTGACTGAAATGCACTGCTGAGGGGAGCAGCGGGCGCGACAGGAGAGGTCTGCAGCGCCCTGTAGGAGTCTCTCTGGCTGGCCGGGATCGAACCAGCGCTGCAGAGGCTGCGGACAGCTTCACAGCACTGCGCCCAACCGCCGCACCACCAGGGAGGCCCAATTCCAGTGACATTTTATGTGCCAAAATGCGACTCTGAGTCGTAACCACACTCAGAACCAGGGCCCTGGGCTCTTGTGCGTGTGCAGGTGCTGGCCGGCAGGTCCGGGGCGGCCCGAGCGTCTGCATTTCTGACCCGCTCCCGGCGGTGATGCAGCGGCTGGTCCAGGCGCACCCGGAGGAGTGAAGATTTACAAGACCTGCCCGGAAAATGCCTTAGGGTCAGGTTACCTAAAATGAAGCTCGGGAGGGACCCCAGATCCCCTGCGTGGAGCACACCTGTGCTGCTGTTTTAAGGGAAGCCAAGGAGCTAGGAAGAGAGGCTTTCGGTAAAGCTGGAAACTTTTTGGCTTTTCGAAGCTTTTCCTTCTCCCTCCCCTTTCTCCGTGTCCTCCTTCCCAGGAGTCATTTCACCCAGGCGTGGCGAGGGCTGTGCTGCCTCCCTTCCTGCGCTCTCAGGTGATAGGATAAAACACATTTTTAAAAATCCTGCTTGGAAACCAAGCCAAGCCATTGGTAACCGAACCCTAAAATGGAGCGTCCCAGGCGCCGGGGAGGTGGGCCACATTATCCAGTGTGGAGCGTTGGGGAGGCCCTGGGGGTGCCTTTTCCTAGGTCAGTCTCTTTTGCATACTCAGCTGGGTTTTTTGGGTTCGGGCCAGAGCGAACATTTTATTGTTCATTTAAAATTTCATTCTACACTAAAATTTAAGCTGCACACTTGTCACATACATTCACTGTGAGGTGCTTGGATGGCAAAAGAAATATGCGAGTGACACCTTAACACACCTGTTGGAAAGCACCCATAGGTGTGGTGGCCGAGGACAGGGCACCTGGACAGGTCAACACCTGCCCTGGAAGTTAGAAGTTACCTGTGGTCTGGGACAGCGCGCTCTGAACAGGGTTGCGGGAGGGTAGAGCTTCCAAAGCAGTTGGCAGGTGTGGATCTGGCTGGCAGGTGAGCTCCTGCAGCAGTGTGGAGTGGAAGGAAGACATTGGTTTCTTCTGGAACATTCCTGAGGTCCACGGGCAATCCCAGAGTTACTGGGGATGCTGTAAAACTGAGCCATAAGTTCTCAGTTTGACTTCCCACCTGGAGAGTGAACTCTTCTCTGAAAAGAGGGTATGTTTCCTCTGAGAGGTTAGAGTGATTGCAATTTACCCAACTGCCCGATAAGGAGTAGCTTTTTAAGTCACCCCGGTAAGCTTAGGACAATGGCTTTCTGTGATGATTCCGTTGGGTTCTGTTCGCCTCGTCTATATACGGGGTCTTCTGAAATATTTCACTGGCTGAGGATTTAATTGCCCCAATCCACAAGTCACCGCCCCTGTGCTTCTTTTTATTTGCAATGAGTTTAATTAGACGTAGTTTTAAAAGTTATTCTCATTTTATTAATGCACCAAAAGGCCTTCAGATTGCCTGGCCCTTGCAGCCATGCCCACTCCCGAGGAAGCCTGTCCTCCCGGCACCACACAGGAACCCCCGCACTGGTCATTTAGCCTCACATGTCCCACTTAGCCTTCTCCAGCCTTTTTTGTCTTGACCTGGCTTGACCTGTTGGGATTAATGCTACGGACTTAGTGTCGTGCAGCTTGACAATGGGTCGGTGGAGTGATTTTTTCATGGCATTTTGTGCCCTTGTCACCCCTCTCTGCCCTGTCCACCTGCTTGACTCTTGCTTTTCCCTCTGCCCTGCTGTGCCTCCTTG